TATGCACACAAAGGTGTGTGCACACCTTTTCATGCACAAATGTCTTGCACCACACTCCCAGAACATGCGCACCATGTGTGTGTGGCCATGGACCCAGGTCCCAGCATAAACAGGCCCCCAAACATGTTGGAGCCCCACTGGCCTCTCCAGCAAAGTTTTCTTCTTTTTACTTTGAAAATAGTTTTATTGGCTCATAAGACCTTTGTATGTATATATTGAAAAAATAACCCAGAACACTATGCAGTATTAAATCACAATTAAAAGGGGGACAAAATGGTGACAGAATAAAAGGATGTGTCCTGGGCCTTGTCCCAGAGCAAATAGAATGAGCAGCTGAATCAAATAACATTCACCCAAAATTGAAGGAGACACAGCTGGTGAGACAATTCACAGCCAGGAAGGGCAGAGGACGCCTGAAGAAAGGTAAAATTCAGGAATCTGGGCTGGAGAAAACTGTGAGACTCTGAGCCCAGAGGGTCAGAGAGAAACCACACAGCACAGAGCCTTGTCCCTTCTGAGTAGATGACAGTTAAGATTCTGTGCCAAGACTATAGTTTTTGAAATAAAATGAATCTAGATTTGAATCATAGCTTCATGATCTGACAGGCACAGTGCCTGACTGTGGAAAGCAGGTCCGCAGGGCTGCTGGTGGCAGGGGATTCTAGATCTGGTTCCACAGTCATGAAAGACTAGGCCTTGAGGGGGCAGCCTGGATGGCTGCCCAGACTGCGTGGGGCCAGGAGGGGAGGGGCTTGCAGATGCACAGCTTTCCTCTCTTTGTGGTCTTTGCTTTTCTTTGCTGAACCTAGTTCATAGGACCTTTTGGATACAGACACGCACCCCTGGCTGAGGTTCAGGAGAAGGTGCATACTTGTGGAGACGGGAGAGGCTGGGGTGAGGAGAGGGCCCAGGAGAAGTGGCTGTGAGTCTGGCCCTGAGTCATACCTGTCAGGATCTGGGCAGCAATTTTCTCCTGAAGAGATAGCCCCTCCCTGCAGTCTCCTGGCAACCAATACAGCCACACCCAGAATACACCCTGAGTGTTACAATGGATACGAAAAATGTCTGAATAGTCTCTGAGAGTCCCCAGGGACTGGCCTAAAGAGAGGCTTTCAGTCTCAGGAACAGAAACTGAGAAGCCACAGACAGTAGAGAAGAGTGGGATCTTAAACCAGGCAAAGGAACGACACTTCACTTTTTCATTTTTATTTGATTTTATTATTTTGTTATTGCTTTATTTTCCTTTTTTCCATTTATTTCTTTTTGCATTATTTTTCCATCATTCCAATTTATTTTATTTTTATCCTAATTTTTAAATCAAATTTTAAAAATTTATTATTATTTTCTTCTCATTCTTCTTATCCACTCATCCTCTTTCTACTTCCTTTATACTAAACTGAATATATCCATATTCATCCAATCTTTAACCTTATTTTCTGTATATAAGATTCTGCCCCCACCCTCTTTACAGGGAATTTGGTGTATGTTTTGATTTACCTGTTTGTCCTCTGATGTTTTCTACATACACACACACACACACACACACACACACACACACACACACACACTGAGTGGCAAGATTATTATGACCCCCCATCAGTACTTCTTTGGGCCACCTTTTGCCTTCAATACTGCTGCGATTCTTCTTGACATTGACTCCACTAGATGTTGAAAGATGATGCGAGGAATCGGACACCATGCCTAATGAATAGCACTGTTCAGATCTGTGAGATTCCATGGTTGTGGAACCCAGCTGCCTGATGGCTCTTTTAACTTCATCCCACAATGCTCAGTTGGATTGAGATCTGGTGATTGTAGTCTCCCTCATGTTCTTAAAACCACTCCTGCACAATACGAGCACCGTGGCATGGCGCATTGTCTTGTTGGAAGAAGCCATCTCCATTGGGATACACCAGTGTTCGGCAAACTCATTAGTCAACAGAGCCAAATAATCAACAGTACAACGATTGAAATTTCTTTTGAGAGTCAAATTTTTTAAACTTAAACTTCTTTTAATGCCACTTCTTCAAAATAGACTCATCCAGGCCATGGTATTTTATGAAGAGTCACACTCAAGGAGCCAAAGAGCTGTATGTGGTTCGCGAGCTGCAGTTTGCTGACCACAGGTATACACCATCAACATGATAGGATGAACTTGATCAGCAATGATACTTAAGTATCATAACACTGCTCCCACCAGTTGAAGGGTTGTACTCATGCATGTGTGCTTTCATGTTGTTTCCACAAAATTCTCACTCTGCCAATCTGCATGATGCAACTGGAAATGTGATTCATAGGACCACATGACTTTTTTCCAATGCTCAACTGTCCAAGCTTTGTGTTCTGTGTGAATTAGAGTCATTTTTATGTTGCTAACTGCAGATAGCAAAGGTGTTCGAACAGGCCTTTAACTTCCATATCCCATATGATGCAGTGTAAGGCTAATTTGCCTACAAATGTTAGGTGGTCATCATAATCTGGCCACTCAGTGTGTATATACACATACACATATACATATACATGTACATACATATATGTATACCCTTTTTCTTCTTTTTCTTTTTTCTCATACCATTTTTCCCCCCGATATCATTTTGTGCTCTCTTTTCTCTGGTGGTCACTTATACTGGGGTTACCAGTGTTGTGAGTGCATTGTGTCATGTCTTGCCAAGGTGAATTTTATCCTGTTTGGTCAATGTGCTAGAGAGCGAGCCACATAACCAGACACCCAGAGAGAAGACTCCATCCACGAACGGGTCAATAACACTCCAAACTTAACTATAGAGGCAGGAAGAAGGCAGCAAGGAGAGAGCGTGAGTTAGTGAGGGAGTAAAAGAGGAGTGTGTGGTTGTGTGGGGTGTTGTGCCACACCAGCACGGCCAAGGGTGAACCTGAGGAAGAGCAGTGAAGGACTGAAGAAAAGACAGACAAAATAATACAGCTGGGGCTCAGTGGATCTCCTGTGCCTGAATGAGGATACAAAAGACCCAGCCTGAAAGCTGATGCTTTATTTTATAGTCTGATTAAAACAAAGGTAGATTAACATGTGTACAAATGTTCTTGTTTGGCAACACTTGCTGCACCTCCCACAGCCCATTAGCTACTTAGGAAGGAATCAGGGAGGGCTACAAGGTCAGGCTTACTTATGCTAGGAGAGCTCAGCCCTCCGGGCTGGGACTTGTTTGTGGCCCAGCCACAGGTCAGCCCAAGGCTTGACTCTAGAGCCGCTCCCTACAGGGTGTGTGTGTGTGTGTGTGTGTGTGTGTGTGTGTGTGAGTGAGGCACAGTTAGATCCCACACTTCAGAGGCAGGCTAACCAGGCTCACCTAACCCAGCAGCCACTGCTTCCTCAGAAGCCTAGCCTTTTTTATGGGAAGAGCTGATGTGACTGGGAGCCTAGCCTCACCCAGGATGTTAACCCTCAGTTAACATCTGGGACTATATAGCCACCCCCACCAGGGACCTGCTACTTCAGCTGTGGTCCCATGACCACCGAGACCATAGCTAAGATTTGGAAATAGCCTAAGTGCTCATCAACAGAAGAGTGGATTACAAAACTGTGGTATATCTACACAATGGAATATTATGCTGAGGTAAAAAAAAAAAAAAAAAAAAAAGAAGAAGAAATTCTTACCATTTGCAACAGCATGGATGGAACTGGAGAGCATTATGCTAAGCGAAATAAGCCAGTCAGAGAAAGATAAATATTATATAATCTCACTCATTTATGGAATATAATGAACAACGTAAACTGGAACAAAAACAGATCCAGAGACAGAGAAGCATGGATCAGACCGCCAAACCTCAGAGGGAAGGTAGGGGAAGTTAGGGGTAATGGGGAGAGGTCAACCAAAGGTCTTGTATGCATATAAGCCTAACTAATGGACAGTCAACGGGGGTGAGGGCATGAATGGTGTTTTTTTTGGGGATAATGGAGCAATAAGGACACATAAGTAATAAATACCTTAATCAATAAAGAAATAAGAAAAAAATCACAATTATACATATATATATATATATATATATATATATATATATATATAATCAATTAAAGCTACCCAGAATATCATTTTTAAAGGGGAAAAAATCCTACAGATCTGAATTCTGGAAAAAAATTATGATTTAAATACTATGACAAAATAGATAATTCCTTATCACATTAATTCATTGCATAGAGCTGCCAGACATTTCCATATGCATAACCATTGCAGAGTGCAAATGAACACAATTCAACATTATACACTTTAGCTAAGTAGCTGTGCCACCACTTAAGAAACTCTGAAATTTCTGGCACAAAAAGTTGGGCTGTCTTAACTTTTACCAGGAAACCAACTTCACAATCCATTTACTCTCTTTATGGCTATTCATATTTTAAAAAAGGAAGAAGAAAAAAGAATAGACTCACTCTATTCATTTTTGAGAAAATATCCACTAAATACTCAGCAATGATGGTGTTCCCCTAAGAAAGGTTAGTTTACTTTCTGCACAGTCACACAAATGCTGTCCTTTGAAACAGTGTCATGCTTTAGGATGCACCCATCTGTGTGTGTTCTCACTGTCAGTGATGGGAGAGAATGTGGTGCAGATAGGTACGCTGCCTGGATTTGTTCTAAGGTGACCACAGTTTTGCTCACAATACTTTTGTCCCATTAACGTAAATACCGACAAAGTGAAAAGGGCAAATAATGTCTTAATATTATTACAAAAGTAACTTGGACTTTGTGGATCCCTCAAAAGGTCTCAGGGATGGAGATGTGAACCACACTCTGATTACCAGTGTTTCAGAGTGACACCCAGAATGCAGCTGGGACCCCTCCCTGACTAATTGCTAGGATTACAGGTAGCTACAATGGAGAATCAACCTTCAATTAAAAATGTCACTCAACATTAGATAATTTTAAACCTGCAAACCTGATGGATTTGACAAATTCCACTGTTGAATTCTGGCCCGCAGAGAGTATGACCTGCCAGGTTTCTTATACCAACACCAGCTTACTTACTCCATGCTGCAGTGGGATGGTTGGCACACAGCCCTCCCCGCTGCTTCCACCTGCCCTCAGTAGGCCAAGATCCCGAATGTCCCCGTCGGGCACCTGCACAGTTATGTACTGGGCCAGGCTCTGCACACAGCTGCTGCAGTGCTCTAGTGCCTGCTGCTTGGACTCTCCACTGAACTGTACCCGGAACATGCGACTCTTGTTCTGTTTGACAAATAGAAAGTTATTCTAAGGGACTGTTGTCATATCATTAAACTTTTATTTACTGCATGGTCTGCTAGAGAGTGCTTTCCTTTGCTCAGAGGAAAAGAGATACAGACAATGGAGCATTCACCCTAGATTGTTGATGTGGGTATAGAAAAGCTAATAACCAGTTTTCTTCCCACTCTTGAGAGCTGTTCCTCTTACTAAAATTCATTTCCTTCAGGGAACAGATATTAGTGAAAATAGAAAACCCATCTTATACAGACCAAGATGACGACATACTGACTGCAGTAAAAGACCAATGTCTTTTTTTTTTTTTTTTTAAATATTTTATAATATTTTATTGATTTTTTACAGAAAGGAAGAGAGAGGGATAGAGAGCTAGAAACGTCGATGAGAGAGAAACATCGGCCAGCCCAGGTCTCTGTTTAAGGATACAAATTTCAATTATAGAAGATACATAAGTCCCAACAGAAATGGCTGCCACCACGGAGCGAGCAGAAGGCTTGGTTCTGCTCCAGGCTACAAAGTTTCAATTATAGAAGATAAATAAACCCTAGATACCAGAGCCTCCACTTGTGTCACCGGGGGCGTGGCCTGCAAAGTACCACAGGCTCCTCACTCAGGCCGCCCCACACCCTAAGGGAACTCCCTTCAGGGCAAACTAGCCAGCCCCCACCCATGCACCAGGACTCTATCCTTTCTAATAAAAGAGTAATATGTAGATTGCCTATCACTCAAACACACAAGATGGCTGCCCCCATGTGGACACAAGATGGCAACCACAAGATGGCCAGAAGGGGATGGCAGTTGGGAGGGTCCAGGCCTTCAAGGAAAAGCAGTTGGGAGCAATGAAGCCTGCAGGGGAGGACAGTTAGGGGTGACCAAACCGACAGAGGAGGGAAGTTGGAGGCAACCAGGCCTGCAGGAAAGGGCAGTTGGGAGGGACCTAGGCCTTCACGGGAGAGCAATTGGGAGGGGACCAGGTCTGCAGGGGAGAGCAGTTAGGGGCAATCCAACTGGCAGGGGAGCAGTTAGGAATCAATCAGGCTGGCAGGGGAGTGGTTAGGAGGTGATAAAGCTGGCAGGGAGAAGCAGTTAGGGGCAATCAGGAAGGCAGGCAGGTGAGCAGTTGGGAGCCAGCACTGACCACCAGGGGGAAGACACTCAATGCAGGAACTGCCCCCAGCCCACAGGGCTTGACTGATAGCAGCAGCAGGGAGTTGGGCCAGGCCAGTCAAGGTGGATATCAGCGGGGGTGGGGGCCCCTGATCACCCTGTTGGTCACTCCACAGATTGGCCTTCATTGCCCGCCAGGCCTAGGGACCCTACCCATGCATTTTATGCACCAGGCCTCTAGTAAACTATAGTTGAAACAATATCTCTCTACATGTAAAGAATATCCAATCAATAGCTAGAAATGTTCTTAATGTCTAAATGTGTCTGCTCATTCAGGTCAGCAAGATGTCAAGCATGACACTAACCCTATAATTAGGTAATTCAGTAAGATGAGAAAAGTAATACACATAACCTATTGAAAATAAAAACTTTATCATTGTGAATTATAATATTACTTTCCTGGAAATTAATAAATTATCAGAGTTAATAAAAAATTTAGTAAGGAAGCTAAATAATACAGAAAAAATCCAGTAATAAGCAGCTAGAAATATCTCTGAGATAAAGAGTACCACTCATATTACACCAGGCAAAAGTTTCCTAACCTTAAATATTTAAAAATCTATATATTATATGATATATACATAAATATTATGTAGAACATTATTTAGTTGCACAAATTACATAAATATATATTTCTATGTAACATATAATCTATACACATCCTTAATATGCAATCTCCCTACAGATAGTATCTACTCTGAAGATAAAAGTTAGGCAAAAGCAGTAGATAGGAAATTCACCGAAGAGATATGGATAGCTAACAAACACACAAAAAAAGTGTATTCTCATTAGTTACCAAAGAAATGAAAATTAAAGGAATATGCTCATTTTGGCCTATCAAATTGGGAACAAGTTTTTAAATGTAAACTGTATCACTCTATTGGAAAGAATTTGGATAAATGAGCATTCTTATAGATTGCTACTGCTGTAGAAATGGACAACCTATCTGAAGGGAAAATTTACTAAATAAATGTTCAAATTTCTAGACTTCTATTTCAAGAACACTGTAAATAAATTCTTATGACAATCAAAACGTGTTTGTAACAGTGAAAAGTTGATAATTCATTACTTGACTCATGGTGTTTCCAAACAAAAAAATGCTACATAGCCATGACGAATCATGTTTTCAAAGACTAAAAAATGACCTGGCATAATATTTCTTTTTTATTTAATTTTATTTATTTACTTATTTTTTAAATTAAATTATTACCTTTGTACATATACCATTGCCTCCTCCCTCCCATACATGCCCTTCCTCCCCAGAGTTTTGTGTCCATTGGTTGTACTTATATGGATGTATATAAGTCCTTCGGTTGATCTCTTATTTCCCCCAGATCTTCCTAACCTCCCTGCTGTATTTGACAGTCCGCTTGTTGCTTTACTGTCTCTATATCTATCTTTTGGTTCTTCAGTTTATAATGTTCTTTATCATCCATAAGTAAGTGAGGTCATGTGGTGTTTCTCTTTCATTGAATGGCTTGTTTCACTCAGCATGATGTTCTCTAATTCAATCCAATGGCATAATACTTCTGATAAAAATGTTACAAGACAAGAAAGCAGGATACAAAGCACTCTATATGCTCTAATCCCAAAGTTGTAAGTATCTACATAGTGTAAGTATCTACACTGTTCAGTGCCATGAGCCGATCCACAGCTCAGGCTAGAAAAGCAGAACACTCATTTTGCCATGTGGGATGGCCACATTACTTTTTTTTTTTTTTTTAGTCCATGAGACAGAAATAGACATATCCTAGGGGTTGTGGGAATTATAAAGCTATATAGGAAAGTTTATGCTTTCCTTATAAAACAAACTGATGAAGTTGGTCTTCCTTGAATGGAAATAAAATAGAGCTGTAGTACCATTTTGTAAATGTGAGAGAGAGGCCAAGGGAATTGCAAAGATATTAACCTTGGCACTGTGAAGTTGCAGGGCCAAAGCTAGCTAACACTGCCTGTTTCTGGATTTCTTATTTAGTAATATAATAATTTTGGGGGCCATTATATCTGGATGTTCTGTCATATGCATCTGAATGTTAATATAATACATATGCCTAGTAAAAGCTTTAAGATGTGAATATGATTGTTTCTTAATTAAATTTATTTGGATAATATTGGCTAGTGATAACATTCTGTAAGTTTTATGTGTACATTTTAAATATATATTGGTATATTCTATTGTGTGCTCACCACCCAGAGTCTCATCTCCTGTCAATATATATTTGACCCACTTTACCCTATTCAACCTGCCCCAACCTACTGATAACCAGCTTTTTTTGTCATTAATATAATTATTGTTTTTGAGTGGTTAAATTATGACTATTTTTTTTATTTTGCTCTTTATAGCTAATTAAAATTTAAATAGTAATATATAATCAGGAAAAAATTAAAACTCAAGTATCAGACATATGACATGGTGTAATTTTTTAAAAAACATATAGAGGGAAAAATCAAGATGGCGGCAAAGGTAAACAACTAATATGCCACCTGCCTGGCACAACAATTTCAAAACTACAACTAAAAGACAAAATTTTTATCACCCAGAACCAAGGGAAAGCTGGCTGAAAGAGAAAGGAGCACAAGTGCTGAAAAGCTGAAAAGCCTAGATATGGAGGCACGCAAATCGGGCTGGTGGCAGGTAACTAGGCACATGGCTTTTTTTCAACCCGAAGGGAAACAAGCTCCCAATCACTTTGAAATCCAATTTATGGGGTCATGTGCGGGACCGAGATGCCTAGGGGGAGATGCTGGTCTATCAGCCACCAGGTCTGAAAGTGAGGGTAACTTTTTTGCAGTTACGCGTAGCAATCATTGTTTACTGCGCTGGAGTGCGGGGACTTAGAAACAAGGAAAGGCAGAGAAGCCTGACAGCAGCAATTGCTGTTAGGCATGCCCCAGCCTAGTGATGTCTTGAGACCCCGCCCCGCCCCAAGGCTCTGCCCCCGCACATTCTACAAAGCCGCCCAGGCTCCACACAACTGCTTTTGGTTATAAATGGCCTGTATTGTGGCAGTTAACAAAATAAACTGCAGCTCCAACTTCAAAACTGCCAAATCTCAAGCAAAGAGGAGAAAACTGTAGTTCTTGCAGTAGCTCCTGCTGGGTGGGCTCAGATAGTAGCTGACCTGCACCCCATTAAAGATCCAGAAACTAGTGTAGCTATGGTCTGTGTGAGATGACACCAGATTTCAACTATTCTCATAAGGGGCACATTCAAGAGGCAGACTCGGTGAGCGCCAAAGCCCTACGGGAACAAGTCCTCCCCCTAAACGTGTCTCCAGCACAGCAATTCTTCCATTATAGACACAGAGGGTCCTCACAGCCAATTGGCCTGGAGGTCAATTCCTCCCAGTGACACCAACAACAATCAAGACTTAACTACAACAAGGGTGTACACAGTGTCCACAAAGGGTGTACCAACAGTGTCCACATCAGGCAACTGGGAGACTGACTCATTGAGGCTGACTCATATAGGACATCCAGTCCCACAAAGCTACCCTACCAACTCAGGGAAGCAGCGAAAATGCCGAGAAAAGGACAGAGATCTCAAACAAAAGAAATGGAGAACAAAAGTCTGGATATAGAGTTCAAAACCACGCTTATAAGGTTTTTCAAGAATTTCCTAGAAAAGGCTGATAAATTTAACAAGACCCTCAAGGATATTAAAAAGGACCAACTAGAAATTAAACATACATTGACTGAAATAAAAAATATTATACAGAGACCCAACAGCAGACTAGAAGAACGCAAGAAGAATCCAGAAAGTTGAAGATAGTGTAAGAAACCTCTGGGACAACTTCAAGCGTACCAACATCAGAATTATA